CTGAGAAGGGCCAGCGTGAGGTGGTCAGAAGGATTCCTTTGAGCGGCCATTGTTTCCTGGTCACGGAATTCTCCCCAAATCCTCCCTGGACACGTTTTGTATTTCAGCGGGTTCCTTTTTCTTTCGGTGGCGGCAGGAATTCTCGGTCGCTTGAGCTCCTTAAATGCCGGGGTGAGTTTTGGGGTAGCCCAGGAGCCGGTTTGTAGGAGCTGTGGGTCTTTGTGCAGTTGGAGCCCTGATAATCGCGAGCGAGCTGAGACTGCTTCTCCCGGTAGGTGAACAGCGGCGCTCAGAGTCCTAACGAGTTACTGCACCCACTCGAGTGCGTCCTAGCAAACTTGAGTGTGGAGTTACTTTAATTTACACAGATTCTTTGGGGTCTCTGCTAATGTCTTTTGGGGTGAGGAAGTTGGGAGGCCCTCCCAGGGCTTCCGACATGCCAGACAAAGCTACATTCGCTGTCCTCACTCTACTCATATCTTTTAAGTAATTACTATTTGCAGGTGTGTGTGTGTGTGTGTTTTAAACAAACTGGGTAGTAAGCTCAAGTGGAATTAAAGTAGAATAATATGATAATGTTCGGGTAAATATACTACAGATTTGTAACACTTTTAAAACAAGCATGTACCCATTTTAAAACATAGACTATGATTATTTTATATCCTATAAGATGTCAGTTGTATTCAGAAGTGTGTTATAATTTTATTTGAAATTGTGATTGAAATGACCATGTTTTACTTAGCAAACATTCATATAGGGACTGTATTATGCTCCTTATGAAATAATTACTTTTAAAGTTTAGGATTTTGTATTTATTTGTTTAGCTTAAGGATGTGTGAGAGGCTGCCGAAATACTTTTTTCTAAGATAGTTTCATTAGGCCTTAACAAGTCAGTTTTTTGAAAAATGTACACACACACACACACACACATATACACATATATTATTGAGAAATTAACTTGACTTATTTAAATGAATGGAGCAGATAATTACAACCTAAAAGAAACATGATTGCCAACTAAAATTGGATGGTAATGAGAAAAGTATGTATGAGTATTACAAACATGAAAAAGTTAAAAACAAAGATATATTAATGTGGGTTATTTTTTTTTTTTGCTTTTAGTACTGTTTTTTAGTGCTCGATCTAAAACCCAGTGTATGCTAGGCAAGTATTCTACCATGAGCTACACCCTCAACACTGATGTGGGATTTTTAACAAATAAAATTTTATATTCAATAACCTGGGGGCACTGGTGCCCCCATATACATAAAATTTTCTCTTAGGCAGTTTTTAGGTAAGCTCATAGAAAATGCTTCACATATTTTCAATTATGCATCTCCATCAACACAACATAGCTTTTACTCAATCACAAAAGAGGAGAATCTTCACTTCTTTCATATAGAAAACAACTTGTTCAAAATGTTCATTATGTCTTCATGTAAAGAACTGTTCAAAATATTCATTGATTTTCAATGGGACAGGGTTTCATTGTATAGTTTAGGTTGGCCTTGGCCTCCATAGCCACAGTGTGCTGGCATTACAGCTATGTGCTGTTACCCCAGGACAAAGATGCTATATTTTTGCTTCAAAGATCTGAATATAGATACAGAGACTTAAAATAAAGAGGCAATAGCCTTCATTTTTTTCTGAGAAATTAATTATCTTACAATGTGGAAGGAAAGAGACTGAGAAAGAGTATGATTTGACCTCAAAGAAAAAGGACCATACATATAGAAGAAAGGCAAAGGACTAAAAGCAGAAGAAACCATTCCTCTTAGGGTACTTAGGTACCTAGGGTACTTAGGGGAACCAAAAGAATCCTTGGAAATGTGAACAAAGCTTGGAGTCATCTCCCATGTAAAAATAGATGCAGCTATAATTTTGTATACATTCACTATTCATAAATCTGCTGGTCATGTCCTCCATGCTTACAGTTGGAAGAAACTAAAAATGAAGACAACCACCAAAAGACTCCTAAGAGATTATTTGCAATAAATGTTTTCTTAGGAAGGAGTACCTGTTTCAATACTATGTGCTATTTCAGTGATGTGACCTTTTTTTTCTTTCTTTCTTTTTTTTTGTGTGCCAATTGTGGAGCCTGAACACTGGGCCAGGGCACTGTCCCTCAGCTCTTTCAGCTCAAGGCTAGCACTCTACCACTAGAGGCACAGCACCACTTGTGGCCTTTTCTGCTTTATGTAGTGCTAAGGAATCGAACCCAGGGCCTCAAGCATGCAAGTCAAGCACTCTACCACTAAGCCACCTTCCTAGCCCAGTGTATGACATTTTTTTTTTTTGGGTCCGGTCGTGGGGCTGAACTTTGGGCCTGGGCACTGTCCCTCAGCTCTTCAGCTCAAGGCTAGCACTCTACCACTTGAGCCACAGCGCCACTTCCGGTTTTTTTCTTTTTGCTTATGTGGT